GCCTCGACGCCCCGCCCGGCCTCCGAGGATCGGGGAGCCTGGCCCATTCGGTACAGAGACAGCCTTCCGATGGCTTGTGGATGGCCCGGGATGTGCTGTTGGGGAACATCTGGGGGCCGACAAGGGGAGAGGACTCTACCCGAGGATTTGGGGCTTGTGGCGTGCACGCGGGGTCCCGGGCACCCTGGAGGCTGAGCGCTCCCCGCCCTGCGCTTGGGTTGGCGCGCGGGGGAGGACCCGCTCACCTGAAGCTGCCCCTCTAGGTTTCCATAGTAACTGGCAGCCGGCGCGGTGGCCTTTCAGAGGATGCGGGGAGGGGAGAGAGTTGCTGGAAGGCTGCTCACTCTTGCCTCTCCTGGTAGTGACACGCTAGTGAGTGGGAGTGGAGGCTGCCCACGTCCTGCCCTGGTCTGAGTCTTAATGCCCAGGTTTCTGTCCAAGGTATATGCAGTTCTCTGCGTATGTGCTTTTCTGAGAATAGGCTCCATACATTCCGTTCTATTCACAAAGCAGCCATCATCCCGGAAAGGAGTGCCTTAGGCCTGAATGGCCTAGCCGGCTCCAGATCCAGTTCTCCGCGAAGATGATGCAGTGTCGCTGAGCTTGAATTTACAAGTCTAATACTGGAATTTCAGTCTGTTCATACATGGTGTTTACGTTTGAAAGATTTTTTTCCCTGTCCTTGTTTCTCATCTCAGGAAACACTGGCAAACTTGGAGAGACAGATCTATGCTTTTGAAGGAAGCTACCTGGAAGATACTCAGATGTATGGCAATATTATTCGTGGCTGGGATCGCTATCTGACCAACCAAAAGTGAGTGTCACAAGCCAGTCTTCCTCTTGTACCTTTTTTTTTTTTTTTTTTTTTTTTTTTTCTTTTTTTTGGTGGAAGCGCGGATTGAATTCAGGCGCTTTTTCTACTGCGCTATCTCCCCAGCCCTAGACTGCGTGTTCTTGTAGGGAACTTGGCAGGTAGGCGGTAATGGTGTGGAAAGAGGTCAGCATTTGAACTTGAACACTGGCTCTGCCACTATCTCACTGTGTAACCTTGGACATATCTATATACAGGGAAAGCTGGGTCTGTGTCACAAGCTTGTGTGAGGTTTAAATGAAATATGTAGTATTAACAGTACTTGACCCAAGAATACTCTTAGTATTTTTTACATTTTAATTAGCCACTAATTCCATCCTCACAGTTTTTGCCCAACTACACGTGTGCCAGACATACCACTATTTACTTGGTGATTTTTGGATCTATAGAATTAAAGAAAATAGTACTTGAACGCTTGGTATCCTTCGCCCATAGTCACGGGGAAGGTGTTGCTGCACTTGTGCTCCTGCACAGCGCATAGTCTTTCTGTAATATATACAAACACATTCAAGACTCCTTTAGTTTTGAAATAATTGTAGATGCATAGGAACTTGCAAAAATAGTACAGAAGGGTCTCATCTACCCTTCACATGTTTTGTTGTTCACTTAGTCTGGTTGTATTTTGTGTTACTGTCATGCATTATCCAAACCCAGAAATTGCCAGGCATTATGGCATATGCCAGTAATCCCAGCACTCAGGAAGCTGAGGCAAGAGGATCGATTTGAGTTTGAGGTCAGCCTTGGCTACATAGTGAGTTCAAGGCCAGCCTGAACTGCATAGTGAAACCCTGCTTTGAAAAGACAAACAAAACAAAACAAACTCCCCCAACCCAGAAATTGACGTTATTGCAATGTGTATATATAATTGTGTGGCATTTCACAACATATGTACCCACAGTTAAGATACAGGACTAAAAAAAAAAAGATGCAGGACTGGTCCCTCACTACAAAAATCTCCCTTGTGTTTTCCCTCTGTAATTGTCTCTTTCCTCTATTCATTTTTTTTTTTTTTTCTTGCTAAGCATTTGAAAGATGCAGATAGGAGTCTTTGCACGTCAGCATCGCTTCCTGAGAACAAGAACATTTGTCTGACCTAACCACCGTGATCCTATGGAGAAAATGAGCACCACATTACCAGTACCGTCTAACACTGTCCTCTCTTCAGATTTCCTCAGTTGTCAAGAAGCCTTGCTTTTTTTTTTTTATTGTTCTTGTTATTATTTTGCCAATGTTGGGGTTTAGGGTCAGGGCCTCCCGTGTGTTACACAAGCAGTTTACATCCTCCCATCCCCTGGTACTGGAGTTTGAACAGGACCTCAGCCCTGAGGTACATACCTAGCCTTTTAAAAAATTTTTTTTTCATTTTAATGAAAACAAAAGATAAAATAGCAATGAAACAGTTTCAAAACAGGTTAGTAGGACAGTTACAATAATTAATACATTGCATATTGTTGTCTTCATAGTAGTTATTCAGAGGACACGATGCAGACATGATATCTTGTCTAACAATATTAGTACAAACCGTCTCTTTTAAATTTTGACAGAGTCTCCCTAAATCATCACATTCTCCAGACTGGGCTCGTTTTTGTGATCCTCCTGTCTCAGCCTCCTAGAGTCCACAGTGTTGGGATTACAAGTGCACATCACCATGTCGAATTTTTTTTTTTTAACTTTGAGATAAGGTCTCCCTAAGTTACCAAATTACGCAGACTGAGTTTGCCTCAGCTTCACAGAGTGCTGGGATTTTAGGGGTTGCCGTTGTGTCTGCTGCTGCTTTCTTTTGATTGAGAATCTAGATGTATTGCCATTGTGCCCATCTCTTTAGGTTTTTTTGTTTGTTTTATTGGTACAATAACTAAACCCTGGCCTTTCGCACTGAGTTACAGTCCCAGGCCTTTAAAATTTTTTATTATTTTGAAATAGGTCTTCACTAAGTTTCCAAGACTGGGTTCAAACTTGGAATCCTTCTCGTGCGGTTATAGGCATTGTGCCACTGAGCTTGGCTTTATTTTATTTTATTTTTTTAAAATGTATTTGGTACAGGGTCTCACTACACAGCTCAGAGTCATAGTGATCTTCCTGTTTGCAGTCTCCCCAGCAGTGGGATTATAAGTGTGTGCCACCCCACCCAGACTCAGTGGCTGGCTTAGTGTGTCCATGGGCAGGCTGGTGCAGCATGTGGTACTGGAGATTGAACCCCAGTCTTTGTGCTTGCCTAAGCAGGCACTTAGTCTGCTGAGCTATGTTGCCGGCCCTTTGGCTCACTGCATAAATCTGGCAAGCCTTGAACTCACAGTCATTAGCTCAGCCTCCTGATGGGGCGGATTACAGGCCTGTACTGCCATGCCAGATTCTCTAGTTTTATGATGTAGGACTGTGAAGGGGTTGAAATTTGAGTTCCTGCCTGGGCAAATATTGAGACCTTTTTTCAAAATTAGAAAATTAAGGGCTGGCCAGATAGCTCACAGGATTAAAGTGCCTGCAAGCAGAGGAGGGGACCAGGGGTTCAATCCCCGGGCCTGCTGTGCTGGCCCCGACCCCAGGGCAGGCCGAGCAGCATTTGAGACTGGGCGTGGTGGTACATACCTGTAATACCAGCTCTTGGGAGGCTGTAAACAGGCGGATCCGATCTCGTAGTGAGACCCTAAACATCCTATAGATCCGGCCCTAAAATACAAAAAAAAGAGAGAAAATTAAAAAGACCTGGGATGAATCTTAGTGTTGGAGCACCTCTCTGTTTAATCCCTAGTACTGCAAAAAGAAAAGAAAGGAAGAAGGAGCCCTTTGTACTGCCTTGCTGGGCAGTCATATTTGTGTTGTTGTGATACTGGGGTTTGAACCCAGGGCCTCCCTGCACGTGCTGGGCAAGCATTGTACCAACTGAACAACATTCTCAGTCCTGTGCTGATCATTTCTATTTCTTTTAAACTTTTTTTTTTTTGTATTTTAGGTAAGGGTCTACAGGGTGTTCAGAGTCTCACAGCTAGAGTGGACTTGTATTAATCCACCTGTTTACAGCCTCCAAAGAGCTAGGATTACAGGCACGCCACCACGCCCAGTCTCTGCTTGTAGGTGCTTTATCCACTGAGCTGGCCCTGTTTTGGTTTTTTGAGACAGTATCTTTATGTAGTTCAGACTAGTTTTCAACTCATTTTAGTCCTCTTGCCTCAGCCTCCTGAGTCTTAGGATTATAGGTAATATGCCACCTTGCCTGATTGTGCTAGTCATTTTTAATAATACAATAAATGCTATTAAGATAGAGTGAGGAGGGGTTTGAGCTGGGGAGTGTTGCCTTACATTCTTTTTGGGGGGTGCTGGGGATTTGGTTCAGCGGTAGAATGCTTACCTAGCAAGCTGGAATCCCTCATTTGGTCCTTGGCACCAAAACCAAAAAATAAACCTTCCCTAAAAAAACAATTAAACTCAAAAATACAGTAAAATCAAAAAAGAGTAAAAACAAGGCAGCTGCACATTCTTTTATTTTTTGTGGTAGTAGGGATCGAACTTGGGTCCTTGCTCTTGCTAGGCAGCTGCTTATGTGCTGAGCTGTCTCTCTGACCCTATTGCTTTATATTCTTTTTTTTTTTTTTTTTTTTTCTTTTGGCAGTACCAGGGATTGAACTCAGGACTTTGCACTTGCCAGGCAGCCACTTACACCACTGAGCTATATTCCCGGCCCCCTATTGCTTTATATTCTGATGACCTGTAATGTTCCTGGGTCTCCTGTATCCCTTATAAAGAAAATAAATGAAACAAAAATGTCTGTGAGGTGCCTAAAGTAACCTGGCCACACGCTTGGCATACGCTGGGAATATTTCTGTCTGTGGGCATTTGACATAGAGCTTGTTTGGGCCAGTCCAGGTGGGTAGGAGGCATTTCTGTATGGAATCTTGTTAGAAAGCGGTAAGAGTTGAGTTCCTTGCCACTGTGCAAGGCATCCCCAGTTTAAAGCACAGACATAACTTGGTTCTTATAGCGAATTTCTTCTGTGTGTTTTAGAAACTCCAACAGCAAAAATGATCGAAGGAACCGGAAGTTTAAAGAAGCTGAGCGGCTCTTCAGTAAATCTTCAGTCACGTCGGCAGCTGTAAGTGGGGTCGTGCAGGGGGAGCTTTCTGTGGCCTCTTGTTGAGAAATGTGTTTTCCTTTGCCTTCCTTCCTGTCTGGGAGTGGTCTCCCGAGGTCTGTGGTCACTTTTCTAGTAACCAGTGGCTTTTCTTTTAGGCTGTAAGTGCGTTGGCAGGAGTTCAGGACCAGCTCATTGAAAAGAGTAAGTTCATGATTTTCCTTTCTTTGTCAGTGTATGTTGAGGCTGCCACAGTCAACTAAGTTTAACTTACTCCATGTGTATCTGAAGACTGCATGTCTGTGCACTCTGCTTCTAGAAGTTGGGGAGCCTTCTGGACATCCCTAAAGATGCCTTTCTTTTGAGAAAGAAACTGCCATCAAGCTTTGTCTTTGTTCCTCCTGTTTTAACTTAGCAACTTTTTTTTTTTTTTTGGTATCGGAGATTGAACTCAGGGCCTTGTGCTTGCCAGGCAGGCGTTTATGCTGCTGAGCTATCTCCCTGACTCTCCACTCTTCTTTTTTTTTTTTTTTTTTTCTGGAAGCAGGGATCGAACTCAAGATCTTGTACTTGCCAGGCAGGCACTTAATCTCCTGAGCTATCTCCCCGGCTTGACATTCCACTCTTGAGATTTTTTTGGGGGTGGTATTTAGTATAGGGTCTACAGAGTCTCACTACGCAGATCGGACTTGTAGTGATCCTCCTGTCTTTAGCCTCACAAGTGCTGGGATTACAGGCATGCGCCACCACACCCAGTCTCATTCTCAGTGTGCCTTGGGGGCCGGGCCCAGTGCTCAGGGAATTAAAAGTATGTACTGGTGTGTTCTTAAATATAAAATGGGGAGTAGATATTATTTACTTTGTAAATAGTCATTTTCTGTATATAGGCCTGATGATGAATTCTTTCATGATATCTAGTAGTAGTAGGATCTAAGTTTACACATTTGTCACCCTCCCTCCCCCTCTCCCTCCCTCCTCTCCTTCCTTCCTTTTTTCTGTTCCCTTTTCCTTCCTTCCCACCCTGCCTTTTTCTCCTTTCTTTTTCTTTTTTCTTCTATGGTATCAGGGATTGAACCAGGGCCTTTGCCCTGAGCTGTATCCCTACCCTGCAACCTTCTTTTTAAAATTTTGAGACAGGGTATCTCAGTTAGCCATGCTGGCCTTGCATTTGCAGTTCTCTTGCTTCACCCTCCGAGAGTGCTGGGCTTAGCAGCGCGCACTACCATGGCCAGTTGCACTTATTTGTCTTTAAGGCGAACTGTGTGTGCTATTTCAGATGTTCTCCCAGTTAATTGTCTCACTTTAGAATATAAGCTGTTTTTGTTGTTGTGGCATTGTACTTCTTTCCAATGCCGTGTCTTGTTGTGGGTTCTTGTTCTTTACATTGGGGCAGAGGTTTGAGGCAAAGGACTTTGGTCATTTGGGCATTAGAGCTACTTAGTGACTTCAGTTGTTATTTCTGTGTATAAATGTCTAAATTGTTCTGTCCCTAACCTCTTTTCTAAGATATTTAGGTATCTTAACAGACTTTTTGTCTGAAAAAGAGCTGTTCTGTTTACTTCTAAAATTTCTATTCCCAGGCCGGTGAGATAGCTCAGTGGTCTAAGTATCTGCCTAGGCAAGCGCAAAGACCTGGGTTTGGTCCCTGCTACTACACACCACGCCAGCCCTACATCAGGCATGCTGAGCTGGCCTCCGAAACCAAGCATGTTGGCACATGCCTGTAATCCCAGCCCTGGGGAGGCTGAAAACAGGAAGATCACTATGAATCCGAGCTGCGTAGTGAGACACTGTACCAAACACATAAAATAAAATGTATCTCCTTTGTAGAATAGTGAGATAGGTTCAGTAGCAGCCTGGACTTGTGCGCTGTGAGTGGGATGGATGGGGATCTGCCTGCTCCGTCTTCATGAGCACCTGTACTTCTGCCCTGGCTTACCTGACATCTGTGTAGGGGGCTTTCTGCCTGTTTATTCACACAGTGTAGCCACTTGTCAGGAAAAGACCCTCTATATCACTGCTTTCAGAAACTGACTGACAAACACGTATTGAAGATTTTCTACAATCTATGCAGGCTCCCCATACAAAACCTACCTTAGAGTGAGCCACACACCTGGCTTATAGTTGGTGTTGCTTGGATTTTTTCAAACAGTTATTTTGGCTGAATCTTACTTTGTTCCTCTAAAATATGTCACTGTATATGTAAGCATATGTAGCAGATGTTTGTTATCACTATAATCTGTTATCTCCTTGATAAAATTTTTCCTGAAGAAATTAACTATGTTTTTTTATTTTATTTTATTTTATTTATTTATTTATGTATGTATGTATGTATGTATGTGTGTGTGTGGCCAGCTCAGCCCACCAGGGGGCGGGGCTGGTTGGCATGTGGTGCTGGGGGATTGAACTGCGGTGTCTGTGCTTTGCTAAGCTTGTTCTAAGTAGGTGCTTTAGACCACTGAGCCATCTCACCAGCCCTAACTGTATGTTTTTTACTAAAAATCTTGTTCAACTATTTCCCTCTTTGTGTGGTTGCTAAAATGTTTAAAGCCAAATTTGGTTTAAGTTCACCTGAGCAAGGAATGTGTAACATGAATTTTTGGAACGAATGTTAGTATTGTTTTCAACTTTTGTATTTCTTGCTATTTTACTCTTATTTTATTGAATTTCATTCTTTGAATCTTAGTAGGCTGCCTTGTACTCTTTGAGGTATGAAGCAGAATATGGAGAATTACATAAATGCTAGTTTCCCTTAGTTCCAATTGTTAGAGCTCCTTTGCAGTGAATTTTGTTGTTCTCTTTTTTTTTTTTTAATTT